CTGCTTTATCAATAACCTTCTCTCCATCGGAAGGTCAGAAGTGAGCATATCTACTGATTGTGTGCAAATGTTCAGCACCATATGAGATGCTTCAGATACTGAAGCAGTCCATGTTCAAATGCAACAAGATCTGGACAGTATCCAGGCTTGGCCTGATAAGTGGCAAGTAACATTCATGTCACACAAATGCCAGTCAGTGATTATGTCCAATAAAAGACAATCTAAACACTGGCCATTGACATTCAATGGTGTTACCATGACTGACTTCCCCACTACCAACATCCTGGGAGCTACCATTGACCAGAAACTCAACTGGGCTTAACAGGTAAGCACAGTGGCAACAAGAACAGATCAGAGACTAGGAATACTGTGATGTGTAATTTACCTCCTGACTATCATCTACAAGGCACAAGTCAGGTGTGTGATAGAATACTCCTCTATTGCCTAGATGGGTGCAGGTCCAACAATACTCCAGCTTGACACCATCCAGGACAAAGCATCCTGCTTGATTGGCACCACATCCAGTCTGTCCATCATTGATGCTCCGTAGTGGAAGTGTGTGCTACCTACAAGATGTACTGCAGAAATTCACCAAAGATCCTTCGACAGCAGCTTCCAAACTCATGACCACTTCCACTTAGAATGACAAGGGCAGTAGATACATGGAAGCACCACGATCTGCAAGTTGCCCTCCAAGCCATTCGCCATCTTGACTTGAAAGTATATCACTGTTCCTTCATTGTCATTGTGTCAAATTGGAATTCCCTCCCTAATGGCGTTGTGGGTCAGCTCGCTACATGTGGACTGCAGTGGTTCAAAAAGGCAGTTCACGCTACCACCTCAAGGGCAACTAGAGATGGCGATAAATTCTGGCCAGTCAGCGGCACCCAGGTCCCAAGAGTGAATAATACATATACCTATACCTATCGCTATACCTTGTTGGTAGTAAGTAATGCTTTGTTCCCTTGTCCATCTTTGAATTTGTACAATCTACATAATTTTGAGTGCTTTTTTTTTTCATTAGATGTTGATTCTAATAGTCTGTCCAGTTCCGTCTCAAACCAATTGAGTGTCTTATCAAGCCATTTCAGAAAGCAGCTATATCAACCACTTTGCATTAGTATGGTGTTTCACATAGCCAGTCTGAGTAATGATGGCAGATTTCCTTTCTTAAATGGCAGTGAATCAATTTGAATTTAAAACAATCTGGAATTCAATTTTGGGGTCAATTGGCAATTTCTAGTAAATGAAACCTGGTCGTTGTCCTGTTAAATGTATTTGTAATGTTTTGATTTTTTCAATGCAAGTAAAACCTTTTAATGATCATATTTTCGTGTCTGATACAGCTAGTTGTTTATTGCAATTATCAGCATTAAAAAAGTGCATTAAAACCTTGGAGCAAATATGGAATAAATAATGGAATTGTCATTATGCAACAGCAGTGACTTTGCTTATGTGGATTATCTGGAATATTTGAAGACAGCCCAAATTACTGCAGCAGATAAATATCACTAGCTCAGCCAAGTTCCATCCAGTGAGCTTTAGTAATTGTTGTGTGCTCTCTTAATACTATTCTGGTCATTGTAGTATGACATATCATTTAGTAAAATGTACTCAGTAGTGCTACCACTTTATTCTTTGAGTTAGTGATCATTGTAAAACTAGTACAAACTCTAAGGACTATATGACACAGTTGGCAGTTTGTACTTATTCTGTCAAATAAGATTCTGAAAATGGGATGAAGGTGATGAAAAAATAACACTTTGGAGGGTTTACATTCATCTCTGCTTGTCAATACAGTGGTGTTAATAACTTTATAGTGTGATTAAGAAAGATGGTTCTGTGCCTTCAAGGTAATTTATAAAATTCATATTTTCCAATGCAGGTCAGTAACGGATCCTAGGGATGGAAAGAGAGTTGCACTCAAAAAGATGCCCAACGTCTTCCAGAATCTAGTTTCCTGCAAGAGGGTCTTCCGTGAGCTGAAGATGCTTTGCTTTTTCAAACATGATAATGTAAGTAAATTTAAAATGTGAAAACAAATGGCGTGGAAAAACAGTTATGAAAACTTATTCCATGCATTGGGTTAATACGTTCAGAAGCACATAAGTAACGAACTTCTTTCGTAGTTCAATCATTCCAAAATGGATATCAAATATGCATTGAATTTAAAAAAGAACTGGGGATATGTTCTTTTATTTTCTACCCTTTTTTAATGAAGATACATTGGCAGTCAACGATGCATGCATTGATTCTTGTTTATAGCTAAATAAACTGTTTCTAATTGCAGCCAGGGAAGTTCTATTAATTCTGTGCATTTCCTTTTGGAATTTTTGTTTTTATTTTAACCCATAGACTAGGTTTTAAACAGCTAAAGGATCATTATAATTTATCTTCAGCTGACAATTCATTTGTTTTTATTGCCGATGTGTCCAGGTTTATCGTGTGGCCATAAATTTAAAAAAACTAAAATGCTAGAAATAGTCAAGACTGGCAGCATTTGTGGAAAGAAACTGTTATCTTGCTGGTCGATGACGTATCAGTGTCGTTAAGTTTGTTTTGTATGGTATTGATGCTTTTAAATTAAATTAATCAAAATTAAACAGTCACTTTTTTGATTCTAGGTACAATGTCTGATTACATGAGATTGCTCTGCATTCAATGAATGAGGATCCCTAACTCCTCATTGAACTTATATGAAAACCATTTTGTCTTCTAGCACCTGTTAACTTTTGTGGTCTGAGAGAAATACAAAAGCGAAGGACTTGTGATTGGATTTTTGTTGAAAGCGAGTGGCAGAAGTCAGTCTTTGAGAACGTTGAAAGTGAAAGTTGTTGAAATCAACCAAAATCAAGTTTGTTGCATTAATGTTCCTTTATTTATTTGCTCTCTGGTTGGAGTTACTAGTGAGGATGCATTTTTACGTTTTCTTGGTTACTCTGGAAAGATAATGGACGTTTCCTTGAGCATTTGTTGGTGATTATGTTTATAGAGGACAGCATATTGGGTGGAATGTCCTAGGAATTTCAGTCAACATCAAAGGAGGAACAGATGTTTGAACCTGGTGTTCCCACAGCATTGCCGCTGTTGCCATTCATTGGTGAAGGTCATAGGGATAAGAGGTGCCATCGATTCGTGAGATGCTGAAATGTAGCTTGTAGATTATGTATAATGCAGCCAGGGGTAATGTATCATAGCCAGTAATAGTGATTCCAGTCATATAAATTCATCTGTCATGGATGTTAACCTTATAAGTATTGTACTTGTGTAGGAAATAGAAACTTACTAAGGGGAGGTTGAGGCAACCATGGCTGATGAGGGAAGTCAGACAGTATAAAAGCAAAAGAAAATGTATACAATGTGGTGAAGATTAGTGGGAAGCCTTTTAAAACCAGCAGAGGACAAGTGAAAAAGCAATAAGGATAGAGAAGATGAAATAGCTGCTAATATAAAAGAAGATTGCAAGAGTTCTGTTAAGATGTATAAAAGGCAAGGGTGCGTGTTGAACTGCTGGAAAATGTGGCTGAAGAAGTAGTAAAGGGAACAAAAATGGTGGAACTGAATAGGTATTTTGCGTCCATTTTCACAGTGGAAAGCAGCAGCATCCTTTAATAACAGACGTTCAAATGAGTCAGGGTAGAAGTGAGTGTAGTGGCCATCACTAAGGAGAAAGTGCTGTGGAAACAGAAATGTCTGAAGGCGCAGAAGTCATTTGGACCAGATGATCTACACCCTAGAGTTTTGAAGGAGATAGCTGAGGAGATCTTAGAGGCACTGGTGATGATCTTTCAGGAATCACTGGAATTGGGGAGTGTTCCAGAGGACTGGAAAATGGCTAATCCACCACCCTTGTATAAGAAGGGAGGGAGAAGACAGGAAACCGTCAGCTGGTTAGCCTGACCTCAGTCGTTGGTAAGATTTTAGAGTTCAGTGTTAAGGATGCGATTACAGAGTACTTGGAAGTGCAAAGTAAAATAAGGCTGAGCCAGCGCAGCTGCTTCACGGTGCGAATGGTCTAATTCAGCTCATATATCTTAACTATTTATGCTCCTGCCTCCATTTGATTTGGCTATCTTTTCCTTTTCACATGCCTACATTCTGATTCCCTTTTGTTATGAGTTTCTCAATTCCGAATTGTTTACTCCCCTTAGGCTTACTGCTACTTCTGTGGTGTCTTAATGTATCCCACCTCCTTTGATCTAATGCAGTTGTTAACCATCATTGATTCACCTTTCCCATCAGGTGTTTGTGCCAAAAAAGAATGTATATCTGTTGTAGACTATAAAGTAGTTCTTTGCATACGGGCTGTTTCCTGTCAACCTTCAAATCTTTGTATTTTCTTAACCCACCATAACCAACTTTCCATTCATAGATTTATATTTTCTCTTGTTTAGCTTTAGACCCTTCAGAATGAATTGATCACATTCAAACCTTAGGTGAAGTTCTATCAAATTATCATCAAACTCACTCAAGGGCTCATTACATAATACTACGTCTGAAGTGGCCCAATCCTTGATTTGTTCTTGAGCATACTTTACAGTGTAAATAATCATAAGTTAAATGCACGTTCAGACCTGATCAGATTTTTACAAAGGTATTGATAATTAAAAATCTACACTCACTTAACTCCAATGTACTCACATTGAAAATTGCACTCTGCTTCCCAAAATTGGGTTCCATACCCTTGGATTGAGGAAAAGCTTCAGCAAGGTTTCATGTTCTTAATTTATGAGAGCTCCTGTGGGCTGAGTTTTCATCTGTTCACTGTTTTTGACAAGAATAGAGAAGCAGTGAAATCAAAATGGCTTAAAATGACTTTACATGATTTTGTTCCTGATATCCATACCTGAAAACAGGCAGGTAAGTTCCAACTGGAAATAAGCATGTGCTTTGTTAATATGAAATCTCGGAATGATGTTTGAAGGACCCTGATGCCATTCCGAGTTCCTTTAGGTAATGCAAGAGCCTGTCAAGTGGAAGACTGTAGCAGGAATTATTGACAGTTTTAAGTTATTTGTGTCATACTGAAAGCATTAATATAAGTTTATTTGATATTTGTAGGGCAACCACCTATTAACTTGATCTGGTCCATTAGTCGCAAGGACTTTAAGCTGGTAAATGGTGGGGAGGACTCAAAAGTTGATTCAGTTCAAAATCCAATAACAGATCAGAATAAAGAAACAGTCATCTCTCATACTTAGGTACGGTGGGTAATGGCAAAACTATAAGAAGTGCATTGATTAGACCAGAAGAGAGTAATAATAAACAGATGACTAAAGCATCAGTGCTAAGGGACAAGGCAGAGTAGAATGTATGGCCCAAATAAAAGTTGAACATACAAATGCATGGAGTATAAAGAATAAATTAACTGAGCTGCAGGTACACATTCAACTAGCTTATGATATAGTAGTCATTACTAAGACATGGCTGCACAATGGTCAAGACTGAGAACAAAATTACTGTATACCAGGTTATAAAACTTACAGGACAGATAGGAAAAATGGCAGAGGATGTGATGTAGCATTACTAGTTAGAAACAAAATGACTTCAATGGTGGCAGAGGATATAATGAGGGGAAAGCATTCAGTGGAGAACATATGAGTGGAACTGAGAAACAGTAAAGGATCTAAAACCTAATGGGTGTTGTGAATAGACACCCGGTAGTAGCTCTGAAGTGCTAGATTGTATACATGCAGAAATTAGGCAGGTTTGTAGCAAAGCCAGAATCGTATCAAAGGGGGATTTTAACTTAGATTAGGAGAGGCAGACAAGAACCTGTTGTGAAGGTAGTGAATTTCTGCAAGTGTGTCCAAGATAGTTTCCTACAGCAGTATATCCTGGATGCAACAAGGGAGCAAGCAGTATTGGATTTAGTAATGGATAATGAGCCAGATTTAATTAGTAACCAAATTGTGCATGGGTGCTTACCAAATAGTGATCATTAATGATCAAGTTCAATGTAGTGTTTGAAAGTGGAATACATTAATTAGCCACTACAGTTTAGGTAATTTAGGTAAGGCTGACTTTTTAATGAGATGAGACAGACTGTTTACAGTAAACTGGAAAATCTGCTAATGGGTAAAACAACAGTGGGAGATGCATGAGGCAACATTTAATCCAAAACACAAACCAGTTTGGACTCGTGTGCAGTGGTATGGTCCCTACTTCTGAGCTAGGAGGCCCAGGTTCAAGATCCATCTGCTCCAGAAGTGTGTAATAACATCTCTGAACATGTTAATTAGAAAATATCTATAGCTTCGAAAAGGAAAAGCTCCACTGCACATTAAAAAAAGACAACTTGAGATGAGGGACAAGATAAAACTAAAAGAAAGGGCTTACAAAAATGCAGAAAACCGCACAGACTCTGTTGAATGGGTAAAATGCAAAGACCAGCAATGGGATACAAAGCAGTTTAAAGAGCTACTGAAGGGGATTTTTGAAAGGAAACTTGCAAGGGATACCAAAATCCATTTAAAAAGTTTCTAGTTACATAGGAGAAAGCGGGTGGTCAGGAGTAATGTTGGCCTACTAAAGACTGAAAGTGGAGGTGTTGTCAATGACTATGGGAAGATGATAGACGTTTTGAATAATTACTTTGTCTCAGTATTTGCTGCAGAAAAGGAGGATACCTTACTGGAAGCCCTGAGGAAATTAATCGTGGACAAAAGACTGAATATAATTAACATACGTAAAACATTAATTCCATTAATTTCCTCTTTATCAATGTTACAAATCCTGGATGCGATGGTTTCTATCAAGGATGTTGAAGGAAGTGGAGAGCACATTTTAGACATCCTAACAATAATCTGAGTTCCCAAGATATCGGAATTGCCCCTCTGCATTGGAAAATTACACCGGTCACTCCACTTTTTAAGACGGGGAATTGCAGACCTGTTAACGTAACATCAATGATGGAGAAATCATTGGCATCTAGCCAAGGATAGGGTAACTGAACAGCTTGAAAGTTTTCAGTTGATCAGGATGAACCAGCATGGATTCATGACTGGTAGATCAT